ATTACATAAATATTTTCTCGCTTGATCTCATAGATCACTGGAAAAGAAATGACGCATGAAAACTTTTTATGTTGTACGAAAACTCTCGGCGCAACTTTTTTTATCGCACAATATAGAGAGAGAGATCGCATGAAGTCTCCACTGTCCATGAAATCTATTTAGGTGCAGTGTTCTTGACCTTGGTTTATATTTATCTGCACGATAGCAAGATATTAGCCCAAGCCATTTACTCGCAAGGAGAATTTAGAAATTTGAGGTGTCCACCAGGTTTGCATGAAACTTAAAGTATATTTTAGATTTGTGCCAAAGATAAGAGCCCCCACCACAAGTGATGAATTGGAAACGATGCTCATCTCATGCTATCTGTCACTCAAGCATTTCTAATCAGCTGGATGAATCTTTGGAGTTAAAATCAAACTCTGCATAAATCACTATCACTAATTTACCGTCTAACCATGATACCCACCCGCAATCGAACACTAACCCAATCACTTCAACTCTTCAAAATTTCATTTTAAAAAATGATCCGAAATGTTTTTTATTTGAATCTTCCTTTTCAAAGGGTTACTCCAAAATGCTCTGAAGTATAAATTTTACAGAAATTTGTTTGAAAACATGAACAGCAACATAATATATTGATTGTGAGATATAACGAATAACCTAATCGTGCACTCAGTATGCTTAATGATTAAGCCCATGATCAAGATAAAGATAAGAGGAGACTTATGATAAAATTCAAATTTACTGATACCAAATTCACTCACTTATAGGAACAATTGTTATGAGTATATCAATACTGGTAATCGGATGAGCTTAAAATCTATTAATTCACATCTTTTTCTCGGAAACAAATAATTTTTGTCGTTTCACATAGATCAATCCCCTTTATGGGTAGTGGATCATTAATTAGAATTTTTGAGAAAAAAGTCTTCAAATTTTCGGCAATTTTCTTGAGCTTTTTCGAATTTCACCTAAAACTTCTAGATTTATCGTCATGTACCACAATTTCCACATCGTATAATTCGAAGTCGTATGGATTGTCGAGCGCATGAGCGATACGTTCGATGTGGACCCGAACAACACTGTGATATGTCTTGTGCAAACCTTTTCAGGTACTCTCATAATTCTCACCATTTTTTTAAAATCAAATTTTCACTCGTTTCCTATCAAATGTATTATATTTCACTCGCATCACAAGTTTTCATATCAAATATACTATCGTATAGGATTACACATTCGCAATATTCACAACAACTTCACTATTGTATCATGAATCTCTTTGTATTGTTATATTTACATATACAGACCATAATTGTTCAATACGAGTTGATTATGCATTCGATTACAGCAAATCTTCAGTCTTATCAGCTCATCTGATCACATGTTTACTATTGTTATCATGTACAACTTTATTATCGCTACTGTAATTATTACACTCAATATCTTTTTATGATTGTTATGCTTAGCATCACCAAATACATACCAAAGCAATACCCAAACACAGATTAATCTAATGAAATCTTTTTAATATTCTTTTTTTTCGCGTGAAGCAGCTATAAGAATGAATGAAGTTGTTATGATGAATAAGCAATATTATTATGTAAAATATTACTGATGCACTTTTTTAAAGAGGCTCATTTTTTTTCAGAAGCTTCATGAATAATTGATCAGATCGCTTCACTTTGATCTCTTAATTTTTCATTTGATTCACTTGTGATCCTTTTGATTCGTTTCATCCATTCAAAGGCACTACTATGAATTGGATGAGAGTAAATAAGATAGATAAATTACAAAAATTTGGTATTTATGCTAATTTGATTGTTAGAAATCCTTTGTGATACCGTCGTCATATAACGAATACCTTTCTGTTTTTTTTTGATTGACCTTTTTATAAGACCTACATCGATGTTGTTATTTGGATTGTTTTCGTGTTCACATACTGCCTTTATTAGCCATATCGCCTTCTTATCGGTATTTGCCATTATCAGAGCCATACTGATAAAAAGCTCACTATTAGAGATCAAGTGCTGACATTTTTGCAGCAGTATCATTCTTTGAATTCTTTAAACCAAATTCTTTCAAGAAAAAAACAACCCAAATTTCAGTCCTCCGCATTGCTTCAATCCGCACCAAAATCATCCGAAATGCTTTCATCCACGATGCGTTTGTGTGAGTGGTTATGTTCGTGACAAGAACGGATTTTGCATCAGACAATGGAAATGTTCTGGCAGGTTCGAATGAGTGCCTTTCATATGCTCAGCTTCTTGTATTCTATCCAGCTGCAGTTGACCAGTGATTCATTCCTCTGAGATGATATTGATCAGCTCATTTCATGTTCACCTTATCAATGTCTATCGACAACCCCAAAATTCCTCTCCAGTGGCTCAAAAAACCTGCTAATTATAATTCTATCATCCATCCATCATTCACATATCTATTCAATCCGTCGATTCAGATTTTATAAATCTTAAGTTTTGTTAATTAGTCCCAAACAAACCTCCTTTATCAGAACCATTCAGTTCGTAAATATTTCAGATATTTTGGCTTATCGAATGACTTCTACAACACAGACAATGAGAACACTAGCAACAGAGGATTTCAGTTCAGAATCCATACGAGGAAAGCAAAACACTCGAGATCAGTGCCGGCATACAATCGTCACTATGGAACACAGTGGATGCGGAAACATTTCTGGTGATTTGATCATCCATTCTACAATAGTTAAAGATATCATTGAACTGAAACCATAAAGGATATCGATGTTGAGCGATTTGATAAATCTGTGCATCGTGTGCCCTAATTCTTTAATCTTTAAATCCCCCTTCTCTCCACATTCATTAACAAATGCTCCCCAAATGAACAGATCGTTTTTCTCCCGTAAATCTTCACTGATCAATTGATCCCGTTCTAATGTTTCAAACTCTATGAAAGTTACCTTTGAGAGTGATTAGATTGTTCGATGGAATTCGATACGTATAAATGACGAATAATATGTGTAATAACAATTGCCCTTACTACTGTCCTGATCATAATTTGCTTCATAACTGACATTCAGTTTTATCAGTGATAAGATAAAATCCATAAATCCATACAAATATCCCACAATAATATTTATTGTGAAGTGCTTGATTTGACTTCGTTTCCCATAACTTCGCTATGTATTTGTTTGCTTGTTTGTGCATTTATTTTAATGTTTTTCAAATTTTATTCGTTTTTGTTGTATTTCATTTCATTTTCGTTTCGACTTGCTTCATTTCACTCTCACAACTTCGGAATCTCAAAAAAATAATCCCTTCTAAGTCATTCAACTCACTCAAATTTCTGCACAGCCAATCCACATTTCCCGGATCGCCATTCTTCCGGCAAATGCACTCGCAATGAAGGTTCCGTTTACATTACATTATATGGAGTGGAATAGAAGTAATGATTTGCTCCCAATTCTGGTGTGTCTTTGTGAACATTTCATATTCATTTTTAATGACACAATTAAGATGACGTTGATTCAAATAAATCGATGATAATAAAATAACAATAATAAAATAATAAAATGTTATACGTCTGCATTTTAATGAATCTTCCTTATGTAATGAACCGTTCCAGCTTTTTCACTCTCAGTTATTAGCATTACCACATAACAGTAACAATACAGATGAACAGACCAGACAAGTGAATTGATAAAAATTTTATTCACTGTCAAATTAACAAGTTAACAATTAACAAAT